GAGTCCTGCTCTTAGGACGGAAGAACCCCATTCACCGCTACAGACTAGGGACCGAATGGCTCGGCAGCAGTTCTGCAGAAAAGGACCTAGGGGTTACAGTGGACGAGAAGCTGGATATGAGTCAACAGTGTGCCTTTGTTGCCAAGAAGGCCAATGGCATTTTGGGATGTATACGTAGGGGCATTGCCAGCAGATCGAGGGACGTGATTGTTCCCCTCTATTCAACATTGGTGAGGCCTCATCTGGAGTACTGTGTCCAGTTTTGGGCCCCACACTACAAGAAGGATGTGGAAAAATTGGAAAATGTCCAGCGGAGGGCAACAAAAATGATTAGGGGACTGGAACACATGACTTATGAGGAGAGGCTGAGGGAACTGGGATTGTTTAGTCTGCGGAAGAGAAGAATGAGGGGGGATTTGATAGTTGCTTTCAACTACCTGAAAGGGGGTTCCAAAGAGGATGGATCTAGACTGTTCTCAGTGGTAGCTGATGACAGAACAAGGAGTAATGCTCTCAAGTTGCAGTGGGGGAGGTTTAGGTTGGATATTAGGAAAATCTTTTTCACTAGGAGGGTGGTGAAACATTGGAATGCGTTACCTAGGGAGGTGGTGGAATCTCCTTCCTTAGATATTTTTAAGGTCAGCCTTGACAAAGCCCTGGCTGGGATGATTTAGCTGGGGATGGGTCCTGTTTTGAGCAGGGGGTTGGACTAGATGACCTCCTGAGGTCCCTTCCAACCCTGATATTCTATGATTCTGTGATTGATTCTATGACTTCAGTGGGGCTGGTTCAGCCTTAATTGTGCAATGCTGTATATTGCAAAGAAATTTCTTCCTGATCTCTCTTCAGTTAGTGCCCTAAAGAATGTGATTTGATTGCATTTACCTGAATATATAGCAACACTTATCAAATTAACTAGCCTAATTAAAAATCTAGCTAAGGTATTCAACTACCTGATCACTCTTTATAGCAGCGAAATCTAAGTGTGATTTCATGCTGTGTGGAAAAGCATTTATTTTTGTTTACTTGATATTTACCTGTTACTAATTTCATTGCAGAGACATTTTGTTCTCGTAGTACATTTCAGTTCATTCTCTCTACTTACAGAGCCCATCTCTAACTGGTAGATAATGCAAGGTGATTTTGGAAGGGCTTATTCATGGTTCTGTACAAAGGAATGAAACATTCCTCAGTTATACCATGGGCTGGTGGGCAAAATGCTGCCCTCAGTCATAGAATCATAGAATATCAGAGTTGGAGGTCTGATGACAATGGAGGTCCCTCTAGTCCAACCCCCTGCTCAAAGCAGGACCAATCCCCAACTAAATCATCCCAGCCAGGGCTTTGTCAAGGCTGACCTTAAAAACTTCTAAGGAAGGGGATTCCACCACGTCCCTAGGTAACGCATTCCAGTGTTTCACCACCCTCCTAGTGAAAAAGTTTTTCCTAATATCCAACCTAAATCTCCCCCACTGCAACTTGAGACCATTTACGCCTTGTCCTGTCATCTGCTTCACTGATGTCAGTGGGTTTGCATAAATGTAACTGAGAACAGAATTTGGCCCTGAACAGCAAATTTATCTGCTGACCTTCTGCCCTCAGATATACCTTTGCAAACCTCTTATAGTGTTTGCACTGGTTTGATGTGAAGATGGTTTTATGTCAATGTGGTAGTCTAGATAATAAAAAACACCCAGACTCCCATTCAGCAACGCATGTAAGCACATGAGTATTTAGTCCTTATTAAGCAAAGCACTTAACCAAATTTGTGTTGCCCATAAAACAACTTTCTCCAGTATGTACTGATGTCAAAAAAGTAGCATCAGTGCTGAGCTGAGGCTACATGTAGTGAGAATCTGTTGATATGGGTTTGTTCCTGACATTTAGAAAGTGAACATCAAACACTAAAGAGCCAGAGACTAGGTGGGAAGAATAGACACAGTCACATACCCAACAGTAAAATGCATCAAAAGACCCTTGTCTCTTTACTAAATAAGACTGAAGGAAGAGGGGGACTGGTTGTGAATTGAGAAAAGAAGTTGGAGGAGAGAGGGAGGGGAAATGGGATACTAGTAGGAGTGGCTATGAAACTTCAGTCAGAGTGAAGAGAAAAGAAACTAAGACCACAGAGATATCTAGGCGGGGTAGAAGTGGGGATTATAGAGAAAGAATAGGGTGCATGAAAGGCATGTGGGAATTCATGTGGAAGGTGGATGTATGAGTAAAGAAGGGAAGAGGCCAGGATGGTGTTTTCTGGAAGATCACCATCGGTGATCTACACTATGGATGTAGAAGCCCTCTACACCAACATTCCACACAAAGATGGACTACAAGCTGTCAGGAACAGTATCCCCGATAATGTCACGGCAAACCTGGTTGGCTGACTTTTGTGACTTTGACCCCACCACAACTATTTCACATTTGGGGACAATATATACATTCAAGTCAGCGGCACTGCTATGGATACCCGCATGGCCCCACAGTATGCTAACATTTTTATGGCTGACTTAGAACAATGCCTCCTTAGCTCTCGTCCCCTAACGCCCCTACTCTACTTGTGCTACATTGATGACATCTTCACCATCTGGACCCATGGCAAAGAGGCCCTTGAGGAATTCCACCATGATTTCAACAATTTCCATCCCACCATCAACCTCAGCCTAGACCAATCCACACAAGTGGTCCATTTCCTGGACACTACTGTGCTAATAAGCGATGGTCACATAAACACCACCCTATACTGGAAACCTACTGACCGCTATGCTTACCTACATGCCTCCAGCTTCCATCCAGGACACACCACACAATCCATTGTCTACAGCCAAGCTCTAAGATACAACCACATTTGCTCCAATCCCTCAGACAGAGACAAATACCTACAAGATCTCTATCAAGCATTCTTAAAACTACAATACCCACCTGCTGAAGTGAAAAAACAGATTGACAGAGTCAGAAGAGTACCCAGAAGTCACCTACTACAGGACAGGCCCAATAAAGAAAATAACAGAATGCCACTAGCCATCACCTTCAGCCTGCAACTAAAACCTCTCCAGCGCATCATCAAAGATTTACAACCTATCCTGAAAAATGATCCCTCACTCTCACAGATCTTGGGAAACAGACCAGTCCTCACTTACAGACAGCCCCCCAACCTGAAGCAAATACTCTCCAGCAACCACACACCACACAACAAAAACACTACCCCAGGAACCTACCTTGCAACAAAGCCCGATGCCAACTCTGTCACATATTTATTCAAGTGACACCATCATAGAATCATAGAATATCAGGGTTGGAAGGGACCTCAGGAGGTCATCTAGTCCAACCCCCTGCTCAAAGCAGAACCAATCCCCAACTAAATCATCCCAGCCAGGGCTAGGACCTAATCACATTAGTCACGCCATCAGGGGCTCGTTCACCTGCACATCTACCAATGTGATATATGCCATCATGTGCCAGCAATGCCCCTCTGCCATTATATTGGCCAAACCAGACAGTCTCTATGCAAAAGAATAAATGGACACAAATCTGACATCAGGAATCATAACATTCAAAAACCGGTAGGAGAACACTTCAACCTCTCTGGCCACTCAGTAAAAGATTTAAGGGTGGCAATTTTGCAACAGAAAAGCTTCAAAAACAGACTCCAACGAGAAACTGCTGAGCTTGAATTAATATACAAACTAGATACCAATAACTTGGGTTTGAATAGAGACTGGGAATGGCTGGGTCATTACACATATTGAATCTATTTCCCTAAGTTAAGTATCCTCACACCTTCTTGTCAACTGTCTAAATGGGCCATCTTGATTATCACTACAAAAGTTTTTTTCTCCTGTTGATAATAGCTCATCTTAACTAATTAGCCTCTTACAGTTTGTATGGCAACTTTAACCTTCTCTATATGTATATATATGTATCTTCTTACTGTATGTTCCATTCTATGCATCCAATGAAGTGGGCTGTAGCCCACGAAAGCTTATGCTCTCATAAATTTGTGAGTCTCTAAGGTGCCACAAGTACTCCTGTTCTTATATTTAGATTGTAACCTCTGCAGGGTATGCATCATGGCCTTCCTGATCTGTAGTTTGCCTAGCACATGTTTGGTGCATATTATAAGAAATGATAACTTATTGATGGGCATATATCTATTGTGTAATTCAGTTGGTGGTCTGACACATAATGATTGATGGTGTTATTTTAATATTTTGATGGTGTTATTTTAATTGATGGTGTTATTTTAATATTTTCCCCTATGGTTTACTTGAAAGGATTCACGAGTCCCGTTTTATATATATAAAGATTGGTAAACTATAAGCAATTTGGAGAGTAGGGCAAAAACTGGCAAGATCTGGATCTACTTTTTTGTTGCCCTGTAGCAACTAGATGTGCCATATTCCAGAAGACTTTGGCACACTAGTAGCAGGTGGGTGAGCCCCTTAGGAAGTGGAATTTGGGAGTCGGCACACAAAAACAGCGGGGTCCATCAGAATCCATGTCTAGAATAAGTTTTTTGCAGCACTAGGGTTCCAAGATGTGCTGGATTCTAGAATTTTGTGGCACATAAGTAGCAACTGGACATTTTCTTTATTTGGGAGCTGGGTTGTGAAAATCAGCAGGCTTTTCTGGAAGGATCTGATTTTTACTCACATGTATTTGTGAGTGTATGTGTTTATGCACGTGTCTGTAAGTGTACCCATGTTTTGGTGTGCGATTACGTGTGTGCATTGAAACCTACTGTGGACATCAGGCGGACAGGAGGGGAGGGGAAGAAGTGGATAACTGCCAGCCTATTCCTCTCCCCTTATGAGCTGAGTCTATTGAGCTGCGGGTTGTGAGCCTAGAGAGGAAGGCAGAGGGAGGGGCGACTGAGACAGAGCCGGCTGGTGTCACACCCCCAGCTCCCCTCCCTTCAGCCCATTGGCTCCGGCCTTTATGATGTCATTGCGTTCTAAAAAAGAACCCAGAAAACAATCGGCATTGAGAAAAAACAGATATATTTTCTGATCCTATTTAAAGGGAAAGCGCCAGGCACCGGGACCCAGCCGCAGAGCCAGAGTCAGGGACTGCAGTTCAGCTTGAAGCCTACCGAGAAGACATGGTGTCGCCGGTCACAGTGGTGAGTGCACACGGGGCTTTGCATGGATTGGAGACGAAACCGGAACAGTAACAATGAAAAACCCAACTTTTTTTTTTTTTTTGAGAAGGGGAACCTGTATGCATGGGGCGGAGCGTGGGGGGACGAGGACTGGCCCCATGCTGGGTTGTGTTCAGGATCGCTGCCCCACCAGGGACCGGAGTAATGCGTTGCGGCTGCTGCCTTAGGTTGTTAAATCCGATTCTCCATCAGCTTGTTGGCTCTGGGGGGAGGGATGGAGTTAGTAATAGGGGGCCAGAATCTGATTCCTCAGGCTCAAGGCTACCATCTTCTCCAGCCTGTGCCTTCCTCTGCTGGGATGTGTGTGGGGGGGGAGAATTAATACCAGGGGGGTGGGGGATGGGAATCCTGCGAAAAAGTGCATCGGATGAAAACACCGTGCACGTGAGCGGGCAGCGTGACTTTGTTGATTTCTCTGGTCTCGCCGGTTGGACGCTGTCTGAGTGATGGAGAAGGAGAGCCCTGCTCGGTCTGCTCCCCTCTCCCTCGCCCAGCAGCCTGAGCAGAGCCGCCCCATCATTTCTCTAAGGAGCAGCAGGCACTGTCCTATTGATATTCGTGCTATGTTTGTGATTTATGTGCCTGGGCGCGGGTCTGTCAATATCCCCGTGCGCACTGCACATCTGGGAACCTCTGTGCTGTATGCCCCTGTGGGAGGGATGTGCAATGTGTATGGACCAGCTCTCTAGCAGCGTGCCTGGGTGTGCATCAGAGGTGTAATGCAGCCTTGTCCACTCACCAGGATAGAGGGATCCTCTGCGGAGTTAAAAAAAAAAAAGTTAATGTTCTCCCTTCACATTATAATAATTTATCCCGATGCATTATGTTCTTCCTCTCGCCCTTCAGTCTGGATCAGTAGCTGCAATAGTGGTGGTGGAAGAGGGGATAATCCCTAGCCTCTGTGCCTGGGCTGGCTAATTATCATGACAATTTTGCAAGGCAGTCATCATATTTGTGGCTGGCCGTATGTTTATGCTCTTCCAATACTACAAAAATATCTCTGTAGGCCCAGTTGAAGTAGATAAAATATTCAGAAAACAGTTGGTATTAGCCAGAAATGCCCACCAATATTTTAAAATATTCCGTGTATTGTTTTTCATGCAACATTCAGACCAGCAGTGAAAAGCAAGGTACTTGGTGTACCAGATAAATTTCCAGTTATACAAGTATCAGTGTAAATTATCAGTACAACATCCATTGGAGATGGTATCACATCCCCCTTTCATAATGGAATGTTCTATTTCACTGCACTTTGGTTCCTGTAGGATAATTTTAAAAACACTGCATAGGTGAAAGACCTTTTTTTCTCTAAAAAAAGAAATCACTGTTAGATTTCAGTGTTTATTAACATTAAAGTATATTGTTCATAGGGGATCATGACTGCATTGTAAATTCTATACACTGATATATCCTAAACATCATATGTTTGGCCTTTTGGCAGGGGACAGGGAGGGAAGCAAAGAACAGATTCGCAAAAAGAAAAGGAGTACTTATGGCACCTTAGAGACTAACCAATTTATTTGAGCATAAGCTTTCGTGAGCTACAGCTCACTTCATCGGATGCATCGGAGCTGTAGCTCACAAAAGCTTATGCTCAAATAAATTGGTTAGTCTCTAAGGTGTCACAAGTACTCCTTTTCTTTTTGCGAATACAGACTAACACAGCTGTTACTCTGAAAAGAATAGATTGCAACTTCACCTCCTGTCAAAATAGGAAAGAAAATGAACAATTATGTACATGGCAATATATGTTATCAATAGAAATACAAATATTGCTAGGAATGGACAAAATTCTTACACCCATGAAATTAAGAGCAAAATTTGGCCCAGAATGTGTAAAAAAAATTCGGAAAAACATTTCAAGGTCTACAGTTGTAACTGGGTATTGCCCATCTTGTTATTTATTACTAGCAGAAGCCAGTATTAAGATGCCTAGTGTATTTTTCTCTTTTCATTTTCTTTTGGCAGAGTCAGTGTCCTCAAAATATACTTGGACCTGAAACACTGCTTGCAATTTTGCCAGAGACAGGATTGATGTATCTGTTCCTTTTGCCACCTGAGTAATTTCAGGGGGTGAAAATTCTCTCTCTCCTGCTGAACATAATTCATAAGGGCTCAGGACGGAAGGAAAAATATGTTGTAGCTGTTATAGGTAACTTTCCTTGCTGCCTTCACTGTATTCAGAAATCTTGTGTATTCCATCAGACAGCGTTGTTGTAATAGATCTGCTCTTTTCTGCCTTTCTGCTGAGATTCTCCCATTCCTTACCAGTGATGTAGAAACCTTCTCTAAGTAAAATTGAGTTTCAGTTGTTTTAGTGATCAGCTTCTCTTCTGCTTCCCCCCTAGGCGGTCTGCTCCCCATTTTATTCTCTGGACCCCTCAGTTATATCCATATTCTGAGCTCTGCCTTGGTTTTCCAAGTCTCTTTGAGCTTTCCTGTTACCCAGGATGCTCTTTTTTGGTAAATCCTTTCAGAAAGAGACCATTTTGCTTATAATTTTCCTGTGGACTTTTGCCTTCACTTCTGTGTCCATTTGTGGTTCTCATCTACAGGCGCAGTTGTCCAGATTATCAGATTTCTGGCTTGACAGAACCTCTGCTTCTTCCTCCTCAGAGACCAGTGAGGGCTGGATTGCCCCAAGTTCAGCTCTACTATTGCTCTTTCCCAGCAGTAGCGACTCCAGATGGAGTGAGCCAGCTAAGTGCAGGCAACTCTTCTCTTCTTCCTTCACCAAGCCAGAAGCAGCACCATGGCCTTTTTTTTTTTTTTAATTATTATTATTATTGAGACTTTCATCCTGTAAACTGATCAGAATTTCTGTCTTTGAGACTCGGTCCCCCTCTTCCTCTTGTCTCAAGGCATCTTTGGACTTTATGCACACATGCATTGGTGCACCCAGTATCATAAGATATATCCCTACATGTGCGTGTGTGTTTATCTTCCATGACCTTGCCTTAATTTAAATAGACAACCCCACATTTACCCTTACACTAATATACTAACACAAATACATCTACCTAGTGTAATGGATTTGGATTTTCCTAACATAATCAGTATTTTCATGTACTTGAGTGGTTCACAGTTCAGTTGAAAATGGGTAAAAACCAAAACACTTTTGAAACCCCCGATGTTTTTTTTTGTAAGAATGAGTAAAAAAAACAAAAGGCCTTGTCTATGTGGAACAGGAATAATATTACTTGCCTGTCTCACAGGGTAGTCAAGAAGCTTAATTAATATAATCCATACTAATACAATGTGCAAGACCACATGTGGAGGTTTGTGTATGAACTATTAGAGCTGGTTGTTTAGCTGAAGTAACAGTGGCTGTGGCTTTAAGATCCAGAGGTCCAGGTTCAGTCCCTGCAGATGAGCCGATATAGGGTGTTATTACATTAATGTGGAAAAGCACTGTGTGATCCCAGGATGAAAGAACTCTGTGTACATCTTATGTGCCTTCATATGCTCTCCTATTTCCAGGACACAAATAGTTTATCTGACTGAGTTTAACTGACAAATCTATAGCTGCATCAGGAATAACTAAGTGTTAGTCAGCAGGTTAAACAGTCCCTTCACTACAGCACTTAGCCCAGAGATATTAGGCATCAGCAATTGATATTGATTTATCATCTTCCTGTTTTCAAAGTACTCTGGCCAATGGCTCTCTTTGAAGTGATTCCCTTGTGCTTTACATCAAAGCTAGAAGTTCTTTGATCAAAACACTTCAAAAGCAGTAGGTGCAAAGACTCTTTACCCCTGTCTTTGCCAGGCCTGCACAATAGTTTGCTGTCTCACATTCCAGTGACTGTCCCTTGCAGTCAGTGCAACCATCGTAAAGAGGTGAATCGGTCTTTAGAGCCTGAATTAAAATAACTTTGAAATATCATGCAAACGTTGTTAATTTCTCTTTTTATACTCTTAAGGGGCAACCTTTGAAGTTCGCTCTTAGTGCGTATGTTCTAGAACATGTTTAAAACCAGACCGTGTAGGCTAGGTAAAGGTCATTGTGAGGGGGCAGGTGCCCCTCACTGGCAGAAAAGGGATTAAAAGCAGCCCAAGGGAGGCTGCGCTGGAGGCAGCCAATTAGAAAGGGGCTGAGAGGAGTAGCCAATCATGGCCTGGCAAGCCCATATAAGAAGGACTGCAGTCAGAACAGAGTTCAGTAACTGACTGGAACTCAAGGGGAGAAGCCCAGCACCTGGGACAATTCAGTGCTCCTGGCTGGCTGCTAGGGCCAGCAAGCTGAGGCAAGGGAAGAAGAGGGTGCTGGAACTGCATGGGAAGTGGCCTTGGGACAATGAACTGCAGTTGCCACTGAGGGAAGAGGCTGGGTGGAGATTGCAGGTCCCCTGGAAGGGGAGAAGACTGTGTGGCACAGCTGGAGCGCAGTGTCATGAAGAGGATGCTGTGCTCCTAGGAGTTATGTGTGTCCAGGAGCAGAGATGACAGTGGGTGAGACACCACCAGAAGAGGGTGCAGAGCTAATTCCCAAGACCACCAGTAGGAGGTGCTGTAGTGGTGAATCGCACCCGTCACAATAATACACAGGTTTGTCCTAAAGGAATGTGGGTTTACCTCAATTTACATATTAGCAGTAAACAAAACCATCAAGCTAAACCAGTGGAGGTTATCCTCAGACTGAACTTGAGAGACAGAGAATTAATATGGATCCAGCACCCCAGAGAGACACTGGAGACTGAATCCCCAGGAAGCCTTCCTGACTTTCAGGACAAAGACAATTCCTTTGGAGGAAGTACAAGGGACAGAGAGAGACTCCATCTTTATCTTACCCCTGAGGAGACAAAGGAATCAAATGAACACTTTATGTGCTGTGTATTGGTTCCTGGCCAGAGGGTCTAGACAGCCATGCTGGACCAAGAATGATTAGTGAGAAAACTACCTTGAGCACTATCTGTAGCTTGTTAAGTTAGGACTTAGCCATTAGAAAGTGTATTTTTACT